GGGGGGGTAAAAAAGGGAGAAAATGAAGAAAGCTCAAAGAACAATGAACAGCAGTTAATTTGGAGACTTCAAAATAAAGAGTGACAAAAATCCCGATAATCTCTACAAGCAAAGGGAGACAAACCTTTCACAGTAGGCTTTGATCTGGCTGTAGTCTAGAGTCATTCCCCCTGATCCCGCCAGAGGGCCTGAGTTCGCTCCCGCGTTGACTGCCTCGGCTAGCTGTGTGAAGCATGTTTGTGACTGGCGAAGCAGGCTGGACGAGCAGGATTGTTGCCCTTGTTTCATTTCTGACTGGGTTGTGACGTCACCGCGAGATTCTGGGGAGACCAAATCTATTTGACAACACATTGGGAGTTTACGTATACTACTGAGTTTCTTTTGTATGCATTTTGGTACGCCTTGATATGTATGCATACATTAATGATATTATAGAAGGGAAGAGATGGGGAGACCGCGAGAGGAAGAGATAAAGACTGGTAGAGTAACTGAAAAGAATGAAAAAGAGAGGGAGGAAGTGGAGGGAAAACGAAAGGGGGAGGAATGAAAGGGGGGAGCAGAAAGAGATAAAGAGAGACGTAAAAGATTGGGGCTGGAAGGGGAGAGGTAGATAAAGAGAAAAAAAGGGAGGGAAGAAGAGGAGTCAGACACTTTGATGCTACAGAAAGATTAATAAAGAGAGGGGGAGAGGGAGAGGGCATCGAAAGACAGACAGAGAGAGAGAGAGAGAGAAAGAGAGAGAAAGAGAGAGAGAGAGAGAGAGAGAGAGATTGAAAGAGTGGGAGAGGGAAGGGAAAGGGAGAGACAGGGTAGACAGAAAGAGTAAAGAGAGGGAGATGAGAAAAGGAAACGGAGAAAATAAAGAGTGAGGCAGCAGCGAGAGAAAGAAAGAAAGGAAAAAAGAGATCTTACGATAGAGAGACAATTATAGTGAAGCTGGGGAAAGAAAAGGGGGGGGGGGTGTTTGAAAGGCATACAGGTTGACAGCAATCAAGGCATATCGGAGCTTGATTCTACACCTCACAATTTCTAAATCACAGCAACACTTATGTTCAGCTATGAGAGAAATATGTTCGGTATCGAGAAAAAGGCAGATCGAGGAGGCTTGTCTAGATCGGTCCACATTGGCTACGTTGACGACCCCGGGCTGAATCCTTAACCCGTTAATTGCCAGGTCTACTTTACAGTCGTACTTAACAGCTGAAAAAAAGCCTTGGGCTAAACACTGAATAGGCAATGAGACACTCTTGAACCTATCTTATTTTACTAAATTTCAAGTCTCCCGAATTGATATCAGGGTCCTATCGGAGATAGACGTAAAATTCGGAGATCCAGCCTCTTGAACAACTATACATTACTTACAAAGATGAAAATCTAATCATCATCATCATCGTTTCTCACACCGTGCCGCGGGGCACGAAATCATCAGGAGCTCTCCCTCTACTTCCATCCTAGGGAAAACAACAGCGCTTTTCTGTTCCTGCAAAACTAATACTAATATAACACCATTATCTACGGAAATCCATGGAATGTGAACGAATAAGGCTTCACTCCTGTGATATCAACTATCAAGGGCTCAAAATCCTGACGCTTTATGGGTTTTAAAAACAGAAGTGAATAGTTTTATTAATTGATTCTATAAAGGTAAAATGTATTTGACATTGAACTTGTCTACTTCCAAGACCCCAAAGAGAAATGTTAAATGAAGACAGCAGTAAGCGAGGCTTGTCTTGGATTGAGGCCGTGGCATTATTTTTGTCAAAACTCTCTCGACAATCTTGCTTTTACTCAGTTTTAATGAAGTCATTTCACTAACAAAGTGCAGCATCACTAAAACTGCAAACGGCACATTCTAGAAAATGCAAAAAGTTAAAAACATATCTTTGACTTACCAAGGAAGTGAGCGGCAACACAGAACATTATTATAACAACTTCAACAAAAGTAAACGTATAACAACTAGACGCCATCGTATTCAGAAGTTCTTTGGGGTCCTAGAGTGAAATGTTGCAGATCAAAGAAATTGTCGTTGGTAAATCATGCACAAAAGTGTTCAGTAGTTGTTTTGATGACGAGAGAGTCCGGGCGTAGAGAGAATGTCTAATGTTGGTGAATCATCTGCAGACAATGAGGGCTTCAAGTCATCTCCTATCGGTGTCTCTACATTTTAATGAGCTTAAGGTTGATCAAAGACGATCCCACAATTTCTTCATGAGCTACAGGCAAGAGTTGGGAATAATTTCATTTAAGCTAGAGAGTTCAACACGGCGAATACGGGGACCCACACGAAATGACTCTAGTTAAAGGGGAGACTCGGGGACCGAGAAAACTTAAATATCTTTGGAAGCAACTTTTAGAATCCGGGGCCTGCGTCCGCGAGCCGAGCACACAGACTGGGGGGAACAAATTGTTGATGTGGCCCGTGCCTACAAACAGAGCACACCACCGGCGTGCGGAGAATCCACGCATCTGATGGACGGGGCAGGCCCCAGCCGGATCTCTTTCATCCTGTCTCCGAACAGGGTTTTTTAAACCAGGAATCTACGGTTAAGCTGACACTTAACTTCTGCAAATGACGGTTAAACGCAGTCCTTTTATGATCCCCAATAACCCAACTCTTAGTTCTAGGTTAACGGAAACGTAAACAAAAAAAACCCAAACATTTTGTCAGCTGTGACTCAAGATCAAGAAAGAATGAGATTTTTTAGGTGGTTACTTACTTCTCGTATTTCATTTTTTAAATATTATTATCTATGCCACAGCAAAGAAATTCTATCAAAGGGAAGAATGACAAACAGGTGGACTTGGAGCAGAGATTAAAGATGTGAAGAGGGGGGGGGGGGACATATAGCGATTTTTTCCTCCGATCACTAGCGAGACTGACACACCCCCATCCACTTCATTGTAATTTCAATCGTTTTTCTCAGTTCTATTTTCAAATTATTCTCAATTCTCGACTTACTGGTTTGAAGACAGTCTTTACTGAACCCTGTTCTCTTGGTGATGTGCATACGTACCGCACCCAGAGGTCGCTCCCCCCACCCCCAGGGCAGTGCTACTTATTGAAGTGTCTTTAGACCATTCCCAATGGGGAGATATTAGCATGTTCTTATGCACAGTAGAATTGTAAATGGGCTGATTTATCAATGTCATGCTCATACTGTACTTGAAACACATGGCGGGAACTGCTGCTTCTTCTGTCCTCATCCTTGCTATCGTCATTTTCCTTTTCTTCTTTTATATGTTTGTCACTCTCTTGTGAACTGCTATTTCCAGGGTGCCTTGATACTCCGAAGCAGACTTTGTGCTGTTGTGGCAAGAGAGGTGAGCAGAGAAAGCCGAGCCCCCATTTGGACTTCTCTGTTGACATCCCCCCCCCCTTTTTGCGCTCAAATGAGCTTATGCAGTTGCGAGTGCCGTAAAACCTTACTAAAACTGAAAGAGGTCGCCACTTGGTTCTGTTTTTTGTCCACTTCTCGAGGAGACTCTTTATTGCTTAATCTCGGTCTTGACTGTTTAATGTAGGTCTCTTTAGGTCTTCCTCTCCCTCTTTTGCCATTTGGATGTTTTCAACATAGGACAACTACTGCAACAGAAGACGACGCAGACATGGTCAGTAGATGCCCCAGGTCATAAAATCCATCTTCTGAATTTCAGGATGACAGAGTTGCGAGCGCCATAAAACACTTACTTTAAAAAAACCAACAGGATGGCAAGGAAGAGGGGGGGGTGGGCTGGTGGAGATCGTCATCTTTATGATGTCATTTTTGGTATTGTGCAGGATCTAAAGACACCAAGTACACGTTTTAGGGAGTATTTCTGGATGATGCTCATAGCGCTCAGTACAACAACATAAAACAGTATAGTGCTCGCTACACCATCAAAATACATTGCAGTAAGTACAAAATCAAAGCACAGCACAGTACTCAGTATAATTTCCCAACACAGTAGGTACAAATTCCTAATAAAGTGCAATGCTCAGTTTAACATCAAAATACATCATTGCTCTCAGGAAACACCAAAATAGTTCAGTAAAGTACTCAGTACAACAATAAAATACTCCATAGTACTCAGTAGGCCTACACCCCAATGTTGCATCAGTAGTCTAGAGTTCAGGCAGCTGGACTCTTAATCTTGAGATTGTGGGTTCTTAGGTTCGAGGCTTAGCTCGTTTCAACGCTGTGTCCTATGGGAAAGGCACTTTTAATGAATTTTCCGATTTTGCTCAGTCCTATTGGAGATGAACGTTAAACTCTGAGGTTCTGTCTCCTAAATAACCTTTCAGTATTGCAAAGGGCAGAGGCGAAGCGTCTATATAATCAAATAATCACTGCTTCCCTTCCTAATTTTGAAACATTGTCGCAGTCAAATTCACCCACAGACGTAAACCTCATAAATTAAATGTAAAAAGACGTTCATAATCACCAATGAAGAATAGACTATGCCTAACCTTCAAAACCGTTTCATTGCCACAGAAATAGCCTGTTCGCCCCTATCGGACCACTCCATAAGCAATCACAAGCTTTGATTAAGTAAGCTTAAAGTGAGGCTGGAAGAGTCAACCAATAGAGTTAAAGGGAACATGTGCATAGCAGTCAGTTTCATTGTCGCATATACCCTGTTCACCCCTTTCGGGCCACAGTTATAAGCACCCAGACGCGCTGATTAGGTAAGCGAACTATTACACTGGTCGAGTCTACCTCACAGATGTGAGGGGAACTAACTCCTAATAATCCTTTGACTCCTGCTACTACACTGCTAGTGCTTGGGTTTTTTTCTCGACTTTTTAACGTCCTATAATCAGATCGTGACCTCGATTATGACACCGGCTCCTGGCCGCGAAAAGCTAGACAAAAAAAACAGCCAAATGTGAAATAAAAAATTAATAATTGGCATGCTCTACCAAAGTGTTTCGGCTGTCTGGTATAACATGCCATTGTAGTGCTGACATCTCTGCTTCTTTCCTTGGTGTTCGTGTGTTCAAATCTAAAGTTAAATTTAAGGTTAGTTAGAATAAATATTTAATGAAATACTTTCCCGATTATTTTAGCGGTTGAACACGCATACAACATGAATTCAGGATTTGTTTTCATTCACAACTCAGAGTTGCCGCCTCCAGTGCCAGAAAGATTCTTGTGACTTGTGTGAGTGTGACATCTCCAGGCCCTTTCTGGTTCCATTTCACTTTGATTACCCTGTCAAACAAGTCCGCCTTCGTCCCTGGCAAAGGGTGTTAAATCTGTGCACTTTTCAACATATAGGTGCAATGTCAAAATACAGTACAGTTAGACACACAACTTCAAAAGACAGTATCTTTAGATCCTTGAACATAATTATTCAAATAGAATAAACATAAACATCATCAATAGTTCAGACTGTTGCAAAATCGCTTCGGGTATGCAACTCCTTTTGCTCTTGCCGATGGAGCGCAGCTGTCCGAGTAAGCCGGTGTCAACAATCGTAGCAGACCCATAAAAACGTCCGATCAACATACCACAGGCAATATAATGGGTTATTCCCAACCATCTTTCTCGAACAAGACGGAGGAGTTTACGTATTCCATAGTAGGCATGTTGTTGCCTGCCAATCTGAGTTTGAGATAAAGAAAACAGCATTGAAAAGCCTGTATGAATAACGGGCCTAAAGCTTCTTTTTTTTAATGTCCTCACTGTTCTCAAGCTTTGCCGTGACCAAAATACGCCTCATCAATGAGATAGGACAGTTTGGTCTACATGCCAGTGTACCAGCTATAGAACAATTACGTCCAAAATTAGAATGCTACATAAACACATGTCAGTGCCTTCATAGCCTTTGAATAGACAAAGGTGCTTTTTGTAAAAATACGTAGAGGATTTTTTATCGGTCTGCCCGTTTCCAAACATAGAGTCCTGCAATCTAAAAAGTCAATATCGTTTTCACGTAACCTTAAAATTGCACATACTTGCTTGTTTCGTGGGCAAGAAAAGGGAATGGGTGGAGTTGAGAAATAATTCAACAGCTTTTGAGCTGGTCCAAAGCAGTATCGATATTGCAGCCAAACTCGGGACAACTCAATTTTTCGGACAGGATCTGTTCAGGCTCTTAAAATATTCCGTCATTTAAGACATGACAGTGAACTAAAGTCACTCCTGTTGAAAACTCGAAAGGGTTCCAATGCTCTGCTCTCTGAACTGGGATGGTGTTATATGATCCTAGTTTTTCTCGGCCAAGAATTGAAATTATTGTTATTGCTTCATACAGCTTATAATTCTTGGGGTGAGGGGGGGGGGGGTATCTAAAACTCCATTTCCTAAAACGTGAAAGTCAGATAAAAATGTAAATATGACACATGGGGGAAGTGCGGCATTTGTTTAGGCTCTGAAACGGACAGCTGCTACTTCCAACAACTGTTTCGCTGTCTATATTAGGATTTTTAAAGATGCTATTACTGGTTGGAAACCGGCGTCTGTGACATAGCGGTTATGGGCTTTGCTGTCGCACGAAGAAAAAGAGCTGAGTTCCATTTGCAAGTGGAGAGACATTTTTATTTTCTCTTTTCTGCAGGGATATTGTATCCAGGGGCGAAGGCTGACTTGTTTGACAGGGTAATCAAAGTGAAACGGGACCAGATATAGATCTATATGGCCTGTAGATATCACAGAAGAATCCTACTCGAGACGGCGACTCTGAGTTGTGAATGAAAACAAATCCGAAATTCATATTGTATGTTCAACCGCCAAAATAATCGGGAAAGTATCTTATTAAATATCAGTTCCAACTAAAATTGAATTTACTTTAGATGTGAATACATAAACACAAAGCAAAGAAGCAGAGATGTCAGTACTAGATCTATATGTTATAGACCTACCAGAGAGTCTAACTCTTTGGTAAAACATGACAATTATCATTTTTTAAATTTCACATTTGGCTGTTTTTGTTAGCCTTTCGTGGCCAGGAGCTGGTGTCATAATCGAGGTCACGATCTGATTATAGGACAGTAAAAAGTCGAGGAAAAAAAACAAGCACATGCAGTAGTAAAGAGATTGTTAGGAGTTAGTTCCCCTCACATTTGTGAGGTAGACTCGACCAGTGTTCGTTAGCTTACTTAATCAGGACTTGGGATTGATTATAACTGTGGCCCCAAAGGGGTGAACAGGGTATATGTGGCAATGAAACAGCCATGACTGCTATGCACAATATGTTCCCTCAACTGTATTGATAGACTCTTCCAGCCTCACTTTAAGCTTACTTAATCAAAGCTTGCGACTGCTTATGGAGTGGCCCGAGAGGGGTGAGGAGGCTATTTATGTGGCCGTGAAACCGTTTTGAATGTTAGGCATACTCATTGTGGATTACGAACCTCTTTTTACTTTTAATTTAAGAGGTTTACGTTTAAGGATGAATTTGACAACGACAATGTTTCAAAATTAGGAAGGGAAGCAGTGATTATTTGATTATATAGACGCTTCGCCCCTGATTGTATCCCTTTCAGCCATGATGTGTCGTGTCAGGCTCGGTGGGAAGCCTG